CCCCAAAACCCCAAAACCCCAAAACCCCAAAACCCCAAAACCCCAAAACCCCAAAACCCCGTTATATAAAGATCGGATTGGGGATGATATAAATTATTAAAATATGAGTATTATCCAACAGTTTGATGAAAATTTGGATGAGGAAATCTTAGATGAAAAGGTCGTTCCTTCGAGGATTAAGACATCGACTCAGCTGGTTAAGAATATGTCTAATAATCCGTTTGAAAGGAAACCTCAAGGGAGTAAACTAATGAAAACTTCTTCTTGACCTGTACAGAAACTTCAGAAATATGTACACAGCTACAAAGACAGGATGGACCGTACAAATTATTCTAAAATTTCAGAAGTGTCTTGAAAAGAAAATTCACACCTAAAACCGAGTCTTCAGAGGGATATTAAGGACTTACTTCAAAGAGCAATTAGGATCAGAAACTCATGAAAATACTCTTCTGAACGCCACATAATTTGTGAGAAAATTGAAGATAATTCTGTTGACTCTCCCTATATCTGAAAGAGGGAAGTGACAATGGAAGATATTTCGGCTCCTAATTAATTTAATACCATAATATTTATAAACAAACATTTTCTTCCCAATATGTAAGAGTCCCAATTCTTGGAAGTATTTAGAAGTTTGTATATCGTTAAACCTTGTTTTTGGTGTTGAAAGATAACGAACGTAAAATTCCAAAATTAAATATTCCAAAATTTTGTACACATACGTATCCTAGTTAAAGGCGGTATTGATACCTGAAAGACAATTTGTGTAGGGAATTTAAAGTCTAAAGGCGATTTAGGCTACTCTATAATCTTCCAAAAGTATACTCAGATCTGTATTACTCTCTACTTGCCAGATTTTCAAATAATTAAGTAACTTTGAAAATAGCGAATTAAGTTCAGTGATTCATTGATCAAGTTAAATTGGCAAGGGGCTAGTTATCCTCAGAGAACAACTAATTTAAATTGGATAAGAATATGCACAATTTTAGCAAAATTAGATGTTTATATAGATACATCCATGTCTTTTTCTAAATATTGCGGTATTATGAATTGAGCTATTGTCTCAAAGTGAACATTACCTGATTTTATCAACTAGAGTCCCAAGACCCCAACACATATTTCCAAAATTATTCATGATTAAAATGATCATTTCTAATACCAGGTGGTAAACTTTTTATGAACTATTAATATAATGCTTTCAGTAATTGCTAAACCTCAGTTGCATATTATCAATTTTCTATAATCTCCATAGAATTGAGGATGGCTCCATAAAAGGTTTGTACACACATAACAAATTACCTGAGAATTCTCTGAAATTTTTGGATTCATTGATTTGTGTACTAACAGAACTAAGATGTCCTTAAAAATTAAATCTTGGACAAGAGGAGAGACTACTCGGTCAAGAATTTAGGTGTAAGTTCTCTTTGAGCTTTCCTGCGTAAAATTTCTTATAAAATACTGTTCTTATAATTTTAGGAATATCCTTTAAAGAGGAAATAAGTATTTAAAAAATGAGATAGGTGGTAAGAAGGAACCTAATGAGAAATAGTTAATTCTTAGCATAATTTTCGGGTTTATAAACGGTGGTAAAAACAAGCAAATCCTATTGGAATTTTATTGTAAGCTGTTTTTACGCTTGATGATTTTTACGTCTTATTGATTAGATACATAGTGGTTTGTCCAGGGTTTTCACTCATAATGTTCCTTAAATTAGAATTTAGAAATTTAAGCTTAGCTTATTGTTGAGAAACATAACAGAAAGATTGGTAAGGGTAATTATAAATATAGGATATTATACAGATTTTGGAGGGAAGATGGAGAGGTTAAGAGTAAAATTTGGCTGGGAAGGTTAGTATTAAATAAACTGTAGAGGTAGTAAGAAGATTAATACTCTTTTTATTCAGTAATCTACAATAAAATTTCCTTTTCGGCTCAGCCCTCTCATACTACAAGTCAAAAATCCCAACCCCACAAAATATATTTTCTCGACTCTCCTAGACCTCCATAAAACTCCCACAAAACTCTTCCGCTCCTTCTTCCTTCAAAATTCCTACTTCAACCTGGTTGAATCTAAGAGGGGTTTTGGGGTTTTGGGGTTTTGGGGTTTTGGGG